GGGTTGAATTGTACCCCCCAAAAACATACATTCAAATTGTAACCTCTGGTACCTGTCAGTGTAACTTTATTTGGAACACAGAGTCTTTGCACATGTAATCAAGTTAAGGGGAGGTCATAGTGGATCAGGGTGGCCCTAAACCCAATGAGTGGCGTCCTTATAAGAAAAGGAAATTTGGGCACAGACGCGCAGGAGAGAAGACCATGTGAAGATAGAAGCAGAGACTGGAGCTGTCGGGAGCTGGACGAGGCAAGGCACAAGTCTGCCCCAGATCCCCCAGCAGGAGCAACCCTGCGGCCATCTGATCTGGTTTTGTTTGGTTGGCAGCTGGCAGCTGAACCCTTGACCTTGGTGTTATAACACCAGGCTCCAACCAACTGAGCTCACCCAGGCAGCCCTGCATCTGGACTTGGGGCCTCTGCTCTTCTGAGGCACCCAGTTTGTGGTACTTTGTTATGGCAGCCCTGGGAAACTAATCTGACATGTAGTGGTTTATTTAAATAAGCAGACATTTTTAAATTTCTGTTTTCATTTTTTTTTTTTTTTTTGTCTTTTTCGTGACCGGGAAGGGAATCACAACCCTTGGCTTGGTGTCGCCCGCACCACGCTCAGCCAGTGAGCACAGGGAGAGAACAAATCTATGTTTATTAGAGGGGGAAGTGGAAAGATTGGATAAGGGGCATAAAGAACAAGTATGATTTGTAACAGTGAATTGCTAGTAAAAAAATGCTAACAAGTGGGAACCTGGCTAAAGAATAAAAAGGAGTTCTTTATACTAGCACATCACCTATGAGTTTGAAATTATTACAAAGTAAACTTTTATAAAAAATAAACATTTCAGATAAGCTAAGAGACATTAGGAGCAAGGTATAAGACAAGAACCAACATAAGTCATATTTTTAAAACTCAGAAAAAGGTGACAGAACTCTACAGAATTAGAAGGAAAACAAAAAAGTATTTTAAAAATGAAGATTAAATTGGAAGAAAAAAAACCAGACACATGCCACAAACAGTGCCTTAAGAGAAAAAGGTGATGGGGAACCTTTTATAAATCAAAGACAAATGAAGAGACAAAAAGGGTTTGAGAGAGTGACAAGCTCTGAACTCAGTTAGAGGAGGCACAACACACAGAAAACAGGAGTCCCTAGGGAAGAAGACCACTGCACAAAACAAGCACAGCTAGCACACCATACAGAACAATCACAGCACAAGCACAGCAGGCACGCTGTCCCAGTGGGTTCCACATCCCTGGAGCAGAACAGCTGCACACTGAAAATATTCAGGGAAAAAGTGCATCTGAACTGAACACATACTTTCCCTTGTTCTTACTCCCTGAACATTACAGATGTTCATTCAATCCATGTCTAGGTAGCCACGTGTCCTGGACAAGCTCACCTATTTACTCAGAGATGCAGGCAGGTACTCAGGTGTTGACTGTGGCCCTGATTCATTAGAGATCCACTCACTGGAAACAGTTCAGCAAATGATGGCTCCTCCATGTGTGGCAGAGGACAAGAGAGGGAGGCCCCACCAGGACAGACTGAGCTCAGAGCAACACTGTGACCTGACCCTCCCATCAAACCAGCGGTTCTTCAAGTGTGGCCCCAGGACCCTCTCAATAGGTCCGCAAGGCCAAACCTATTTTCATGATACTATGCTACTTTTAATAATCATCATAAATTATTTGCCCTTTTCCCTCTTATTCTCTCATGAATATACATTTTCCAGAGGCTACATCTGAGAAGCAGAATCCTGGCCTCCAAAGATGTCCACATCCTTATCCCCGAGCCTGTGAATATGTCACCTGACATGGAAAAAGGGACTCTGTGGATGTGATTAAGTCGAGGATCTCGAGACTGTGAGACTTTCCTGGGTTATTTGGGTGCACCCTAAACAGAACCACAAGGGCCTTTGTAGGTGGAAAGAGGCAGAGAAGGAGCAATGAGCCTGGAAAGATGAGCAAGAAGGACATGGGGTCATAAGCCAAGGGACACAGCAGCCCGCAGATGCTGGAAAAGGCAAGGACTCTGCCCCTCCCCCTCCTCGTAATAACTTCGTATAGCATACATTATACGACGTTATACGATCTACAAGGAAGAAGGGAAGAGACAAAGGGCTGGAGCCGAGCAGACAGGGCCCACTAAGAGCGCAGGCTCACAGAGGCAGGGAAGAGAGGGACACGAGGCACACAGCAGGCAGCAAATGTTGCAAGCACTGACTGCAAACACTGCTGCTGAAGACCAGGTAAAAGGCCCTCTCACACCTGACCATCAGGAGCAGCAACTGGTCAAGGCTGGTTTTAGATGCAACCCAGCAATGTCTACCTAACCTAAACCAGCAGCTTGACATAAGGTGTCTGTCCTGGGGAAACGTTCACACATGGCACAAAGGGGCCTGGGCCATGGTCAACACCATGGCCAAGGAAGGTGTAGGAGTCGCAGGCCACAGCAGCCAGGCAGCTACAGAAGTGGAGGAGCCAAGTAGGTCCAACCCAGCAGTTCTCTGCCTCAGTGCACACTTGGGGAGATTAAAAAACCTAGCGCCCAGGCCCTATCCCCTGAGCATGATGGAAGCAGTCTGTGGGTCCAGCATTGGTATTCTTCTTAAATAACTGAACTTGAAGATTAATGTTCACACAGTAAATGACCACTTTAAGTGTACAGCTGAATTCTGACACATGTGCCTTGTGTAGCCTCCACACTTCACCTGCCTTTTCACATAAATGGAATCAAATAGTAGGTCGCCCCGTGTTGGCGTCTATGGGTTAGCACGTCTGAGACTCATCCACTCCATGCTGTGGGACCTGGCCACTCATCGTTCCTGCTGGTAGTGTTCTGCTTTATGGACACACAGTTGTCCCTCAGCATCCATGGAGGATTGGTGCCAGGACCTCCCGAGCATATCAAAATACAGATGCTCAAGTCCCTGATATGAAACTGCATAGTATTCGCATATAACCTATGCACATCCTCCTGCATACTTTAAATCATCACTAGATTACTTATAATCCCTAATACAATGTAAATGCTATGTAAACAGCTGTTAAGCTGTAGTTTTTTAAAATCTGTATTATCTTTTGTTTTTTTTCCCAAATATTTCGGTCCACGGCTGAATTCTGGGATGTGGAAGCCACTGATTCAGAGACCAACTAACCCATGATTTGCCTGTTCACCAGCTGATGGACACACAGCTTGCTTCCAGGTTTTGGCAACTGTAAATGAAGCTCCGGTGAACGTGCACACACAAGCCTTTGGACACGGGTTTCCCTCCTCTCAGCTGGGCTATCTGGTGCGTGCCTGTCTGCACAGCAGCTGCACCATTTTATGTCCATCGCAGCAGATAAGTCTTCCAGCCATGCCACATCCTCACTTTGCTATTTTAAGTCTTTCTAAGGGAACGCAGTATTATTTCCCTGTGGTTTTAATCTGCATTTTCCCAATGACCAGTGAGGTTGGGCCCCTTCCCACATGCAGAACTGCCAATCAACCGTTCTGGGGATCTCCCAGTGGTGCCCTTTGAAAGTCTCCCTGTGACTTGCCTTTTAATTTTCTTAATTTTCCTAACTATTTCAAAGAGCTGAGATTTTAAATTTTTGTGAAGTCCAATTTCTTATTTTGTCTTTATGGCTAGTACTTTGTGTGTAGCTAAGAAATCTCAGCCTACCCCACAGTTGCAAAGACCTCCCCCCACATTTCCTTCTAGAACTCTTAGTTTCAGCTTTTACATTTAAATAATAGCTAAGATTCACTGCTTTCCAAATGGATATCCAGCTATTCCAGCACGAGTTTTTGAAAAAAACAAAAGCAACTCTCCTTTCCCCACTGAATTACCTTGGCATACTTCTCAAAAACCAAGTACTGCCTGTGTGCAGGTCTGTCTGGACTCACTGCTCTGCCAGTCTGTGCATACCTTGGCATACTTCTCAAAAACCAAGTACTGCCTGTGTGCAGGTCTGTCTGGACTCACTGTCTGCTCTGCCAGTCTGTGCGTCTGTCTTTAGCCAGAGCACACTGCCTCCCCCACCGAGGCTTCGTGTTAAGGCTCCAAATGAGGAGGGATAAGTGCTCCAACTGTGTTCTTCAAAACTGTCTCACTCTCTTTGACCTTTTGCATTTCCGTGTAAATGTTAAAATCAGCTTATCAGTTGTGATGTTGTGGTTCCCATGCAGGCCCCAGCCTGTGTTCTCTCCAGGTGGCTCCCACAGCAGCCAGCATGGAAAGCACTGAGTTAGAGAACTGCAGCAGCTCCGCATGCCTCAAATCCCTCTCAGCGGCCTGCCCTCCCCTCTGCCCCACCACGCCCCTCGCCTCCTCCCTGCCCACTCCAGCTCTGTCTCCACCCTCTCTCTCTGCTCCACTTTCCCCCACGGCCCTGGAGTGTCATCAGCTCACGCACTTTCTCTCTCGTCTACCTCTCCCTGGAATCAGAGATCCAATGCGAGCAATGCCTCTTTTCTCCACTGCTGCACCTAGGACAGTGCCCAGCACGGGGGGGGGCTTGAGATAACAAATGAATAAACAAAGGAACCCAGAAAGGAAGACCTCCACCACGTCATTACTATGCAAAAGTACAAGTCGCTAAACACATGGAGTACAATCCCACCTGTGTTAAATAAAAGGAGAGAGGCACAAAAAGACGTGCAGACAGACCTGTATGAGAAAAGAAACCCCTCCCACAGTCTGTTACGAAAGAAAGAAGCTGAGCCCAACTGTCAGGACCAAGCCAAGTCCTGGCTGCTGGTCACAGCCCAGTGGCCTCTTCTCTCCCACCAGCCTGCTCACTCCCAGGTTGCTCAGATCACCATCCCTGGGCTCTCACAGCTGCGTCTGGCCGGGTCCTGACACCCTGACCAGTGATGGAGGCAGGTCCTCCCTCCTCCTGCCCACGCCTGCTACTCTGAGGCCCTGAACACGCAAAGGCTCAGATGGCCCCTTCCTCCCAAGCCCAGGGACACCCCCTGGATGTCAGGAATCGCCAGATGCACAGGCTGAGTCCTCACCTTGGCATCCAACAAGTAATTGTACGGCATAAAGATGATGTCGGCTTGCTGCTTCAAGTTCCGAGAAAGGTAGTAAGGGCACACTCTGGGCGGAGAGGGAGAGAAGACGCCATAAGCACCCTAGGCAGGGGATGTGCGAGAGGGGCAGCCGTGTACTCTGACTGGGAGGAGCCTTGTTCTGCATGTGGGGCCTCAGTGGGTGAGGAGCCATGTGGATTTTCAACCGGGTGGACGCATCACCTATTTAAACCATGAAAACAAAACACCCAGCCCTCTTCCTGGATAGAGGTCATTAGAAACAAAAACAATACAGGAGTACAAAAAAATGTAGAACTTCTTCCCCTCGGGGTAAGAAAGCCTTATCACGATTTGAATCCCTGAAGCTGTCAGAGGTTGACAGACTTGCTGTCCTCAGAAGGAATGAGACCAGGCTGCAAGCAGCAATGTGAGAAGCTGTCCAAGACACAGCAGTGAAGAAGAGTTCCGCAGAGAATGAGCAGCACAAGCAAGACTGTGTGCATGCTTTTGCACTTGCACGGAACACCCGCAAGCGCCCGTCCACACTGCTCAGTGGCCAGCTGGGAGTGGACTGGGGGCTGGGGAGGGAGAAGGCGGCTTCATTTTCTACTTTACGTTCCTCAGAACGGCTTCCTAAAAAACTTTTAGTTTCATAATTCAAAAAGGGAAAAGGAAAGTAATACATCCACGCCTCTACACATCATGGGAGAGTCTGGCTGTGGAAGGGACAGCAGCAGCCGCCGTGCCAGGAGGGCTCTCACTTGTGCTTGCTCCCGCTCTTGACAAGGTCCTCAATGTCCAGGATGGGGGTGGCCAGCTCCTGCTCCAGGCTTTTCTCTGCAGATATGAGGCAGGAATAAACACGCACCCTGGAGACCCACTGAGTCTCCCCAGGCCCCAGGGAACAACCAGGACAGAATGGCTCCTACATAGTGGACAGTGTGGAGGACTCACTAGAGATCCCTGCCTGGTGGGTCTCAGGTCCCCAGGGGAGGCCCCTATCCAAAGTGATCTCAAGGAGCCCTGCTCTGTACCCAAGAAGGCAGGCACTGGCCTGAGGCTGTGGGTCAGTCACGGAGACAAATGCCAAGGCCGTCTCTAAGGGTCTCGAGCATCCTATTCACCCCTAGACAGCCCCATGATAGGACAGGAGTGGTTACCACACCCAGCCCTCCTGTGGGAAGCCCCCCACTCTGCCACAAGCCCAAAGGCATCTCCCATAAGCCCCTGGAGAAGCCTGTCCTGTGATTAGTGCTACCTTCTCTTGCTCAGCTTCTCCACCAATTAAGACAGACCCAGAGTTTCCACCTGAAGGACAGCCAGGACCTGAGGCAGGGCACAGGCAGGCAGAGGGCAGGAAGGGGAACCAGAGGCAGAATCTACCCTGCCCCTCAATCCCAGTGGGGGCCCATCCCCTTCCCCAGGATGGCAACCTTAGAACAGGCACCACCCATGTGTGGAGAATACCAGCATTTATAAGCACATGTATTTCACAGAGCCTGACTTTTTGGTATTGCACATAGAAGTGTTAAGCTTGGGAAAGACAGAAAGCTTTCCCCGGGCTAAAGTCTCTGTTGTAGATAAAGAATTGTAACACAGCAAAATTGCTGGCTCTAAGGGCAGATGTCCTTGGTGCAGCTAAACCTAATGACTGTTGCTATGACAAATATCTTACTGTTCTTTTTGTAACCACCTATGTTCCTTTTCTGTAACTTTCTTGCCTAGAGAATAAAAACAGAGAGAGAACCTGATTCGGGGCTATTCGTGGGATCTTTCTTCTCTTGAAAGAATTATTCCTGGGGGTAACTGTTTTCGGGCCTCTCACTGATCAGAAGAAATGAGCTTTGAGTAATCCTTTGCATCTCTGTCACTCTGGGGGAGAGGTGACACCCATGCTGGCTGTAGGGCACAGGTCAGGAAGAACCTCAGTGATTTGTGGAAGAGGGGCTGTTCTGCCCCTCCCCACCCCCAGGGCACAGGCCCCCAAAGTGGAGCCACAGGAAATCCTTGGGGAGCTGCTTGGGGAGCAACTCCCAGGCCCCATGCCCTAGCAGGCAAGACCAGGGACCTCTCCTGACAAGCATCCCAGTCTCAGGGCAGCCACATGTGGGAATGGGGCCTCCCTCCAGCTGCTGGCTCCATGTAGCTGCTTGTGTCCACCCCCAGCAGGTGCCGGACCCCCTCAGCAGCAGGGATGAGGCCTAACCCTTAGTGGCAGAGGCCAGAACGTGCGCGAGTGCACACACACACATGCGGACTCAGCACAGAGCTGCACGCACAGCTGTAACTTATCACAACAGAAGGACACACAGCTGAATCAGCAAAGAGAAAAAACGCAGGGGGTGAAGTCAGGGGAGAACAAACGCGGCTTCCAGAGCCTCTCAGTGAGTCTCACAGGCAATCAGCACACTGCCCTGTGCTGTTGTTACCCCACCCCCACCCCCTGGGTCTTAGAGGGTGCAGGCTAGGCAGGGCTCCAGCTCTCCACTCCCTCATTTGCCCACACAAACGCCTCCCCTTCCTCTCAGACCCCCCATCCCCAACCCAAAAGGTGTAGATTAATTCAGCCCTCATTAGCAATCAATTTGCAGAGTATTACCCAAAATGTGACAGTATTTTTCAGCCTAATATAAATAGCAAGATGACTAATTAGGTGCCAAGTCTCAAAATAGGAAATTGTTCTGTAGTTCTAAATCCAGGCTTTTGCACTATTCCATCTGAATGGAACCTGATGTCCTACATACAAGGTCTCAGATGTGAGCCTAACTGGGGAACTGGGTGGGGGGGGGCGGGTAGTAAGCAGGGTATAAGAGGGCACCTCAACACCCAGTAGAAAGAAACCTACCCCCCCCCTTCCACCTCCCTGCACTACCCTGAGCGCCAAAGACCTTCCTAAGTGAGGGCTGGACACCAGTTGCCCCTCTACATGACCACGTTTCCTCCAGACCCTCAAATGGCGGCCACTGCTCGTCAACCAGCATCGGTCAAACGCCACTTCCTCCACCTGCATGTGGTTGCTCCCCTGCTTCTTCACCTCAGGGTGGATGCACAGCTGCTCCCGGGAGCCCAGCACACACACCTTGGGCCTGGCCAAAGAAAGAACCGTGGGGTTGAGGAGGAACTACCTCCAACAGACAACCCATGGTGCAGTCCAGCAGCATGAGTGACCAGAGGGAGTGGACCAAGTGAGAGAACAAGGTGACAAGCCATGGGAAACTGGACAGAAGGGACTGAGAGAGCTTCTAGTGACCCCGCTGTCCATCCTCCACTCACAGGAGCCAGGGTGGGACACTAAGATTCTGCTGGGCTCTGATGAGGGGCAGAGCCTCCTCCCCCTTCACATGCAAGGCTGCATAAATGGCCAATCCTGACCCACGCCACAGATGACACAACAGCACCTGCAAGGGGCTCAGGGTGCCAGCCCAAGGTCAACATGTACATTCGAAGCTGCTTTCTCGCAACTAATGGGCACCGGAGACAGCCCAGCCCTCACCTGACACCACCACCCAACCCTGAAGCAGGATGAACCTGTGCAACCCACCGGTAGGAGGTGCTCCGAAGCTCGCTGATGACCTGCGTGAGCTGAGAGTGGGTCCTGGAGGCATAAATGATCTTTGGAATGTCTGCATAGCAAGCTGCCGGGCACGAGGAAACACAACAGGTCATGGCTCTGAGACAATGTCCCCATGTACGTGTTTAACACACGCAGCACCAGAAATGGGTTAAGTGGGTATCTGCTGTGACCTAATTCAGCAAAAAAAGCCCCAACCCTAGGTTTATACCCAGGATGGTGACAAATGATGTGGCAGCTACAAAATTCTCCTTGTTCAGCTCTGCTCGAGATATGGAAGAAGCCCAGGTGTACTTGCCCTAGCCCGATACCCTCCCGAACACTCCATACAAGGCCAGGAGAGGCCTGGGAAGTAGGGTCACCTATGGGGTCTCCATCAGCAGCAGCATTCCCCCAGGATGACAAAGCCTGATCATGGAAAAGTTCCCCTTGCACTCTCTCGGCAATCTTGCGGGCAGAGATGGTGTCTCGGAGGTGCTCCCTCCAGGCCAGCGTGGCGCAGAGGAGGCACAGCGTCTTGCCTGTGCCCGTGGGGCTCTCCAAAATGCCATTCACCTTCTGAAAAGGATCGGGAACAGGGGTCATGGGGAAGCAGGGAGACAAGTGAGGGCACAAAACCTGCCCCAAGGCAAGCCCCGACAACCAGTTAGAGACAGTTCTCAGATGCATAGCCCACCGTCGGATGGCAAAGGCCTCATGGAACCATGGATAAGTCCATCCCCAACCCAAAAGGTGTAGATTAATTCAGCCCTCATTAGCAATCAATTTGCAGAGTATTACCCAAAATGTGACAGTATTTTTCAGCCTAATATAAATAGCAAGATGACTAATTAGGTGCCAAGTCTCAAAATAGGAAATTGTTCTGTAGTTCTAAATCCAGGCTTTTGCACTATTCCATCTGAATGGAACCTGATGTCCTACATACAAGGTCTCAGATGTGAGCCTAACTGGGGAACTGGGTGGGGGGGGGCGGGTAGTAAGCAGGGTATAAGAGGGCACCTCAACACCCAGTAGAAAGAAACCTACCCCCCCCCTTCCACCTCCCTGCACTACCCTGAGCGCCAAAGACCTTCCTAAGTGAGGGCTGGACACCAGTTGCCCCTCTACATGACCACGTTTCCTCCAGACCCTCAAATGGCGGCCACTGCTCGTCAACCAGCATCGGTCAAACGCCACTTCCTCAGAGAGGCCCCCATGGCACTCCCAAGCCTGCCACTACTTGGAATTATCTTTTTTGTTTGCTTGTTTATTGTCTCTCTTACCCCACCAAGAACATCAGCCCTATTTATGACAGAACACTGCCATTCACGCAGCAGGGCCAGGCTGGAATGGGCGGGAAGGTCGCAGTACATTAGGCCCCTGCTGAAGCTCCACCCATGCTGACCCATCCCCCAGTACCAATCCGTCAGGGTCTGCCCCTTTACCTTCTGCAGACATTCCAGGACCTTGGTCATGTACTCCTGCTGGCATCTGTACGGCTGGAAAGGGAAGTCCACCGTCACACCATTCAGAGTTATCTTGGGCATATCAGCGTGTTCTCAGGAGGGCACAGAGGATTGGGTCCGTGTGACAAAACGCCTTTGCACATCTCAGGGTCTCAGCCGCTCCAGTAAGTGATGCTGGCGTGTGGTAATGGCACAAAAGGTTGTTCTGTCTGGCACAGACACGGGGAAGACAACAAGACTCTGTTTTCAGCCAGCCTTTCCGGGGTACCAGGCCACTGAACCGGTCACCTCAGGACGTCCCTCCCCTGGAGAAGCCTGCTGCGTCCCCGCTGAGCGTGCCCTGCCTCGCCCTCCAGCGCCGCCCGGCTGCCAGAAGCAGCAAGTGCAGTCCGCAAGCTCCACGCGCACTGGAGCGCGACAGGCCGGGCTACAGAACTCCCGGACCCGGCTCCAACCCTCCGCTCCCCGCCGCGCCCAGGTGGGCGACCAGGTGCGGCTGACGTGGCGAGAGGGCGTCCCGGGACGCAAATCCACGCGGCCCCTGGCGACTCACTCGACTGCTCTAGGCCTCAGTGTCTAGACGAAGAGCCAGCCGCAGCGTCCCCGCGCCTCTCGGCTCACGTGCCTCCGCGGAAGTACCAGCAACTCAACCGCCGCCTGGCGGCCCGGACTTGGCTGGCTGGGGCGCGCAGCCGGCGACGAACGCGTCGCACTTCCGCCCCCACTTCCGGTCCGCGGCGCGGTGCTCCCTGCGGAAACCGTTCCCCGGCCGAGGGGTCCGGCTGCCGCGCGGCGCCTAGTGGTCCTTTGCCGGGCACCATCCCGGCCTCTTCCATTGAGTCCAATGACCCGCACGTCCGTCGCCCGCAGGCAGAAAACTGGGGTCCCGCCCTCTCTCAAGTCGTCATCCCCACCAGGGTCTACATGCCACTAGCACCCCCCAGGCCACGCCACAACCGTTGCCGGACTCCTGCACAGGCTCATCGCTTTCCCGAGGCTCCCCCCTCTCTGTTTGCCAACACCCAGAGGCATCTTTTCACGGCTCGACTCCGAGCCGATCTCTTTCCTTAAAATCCACAGTGGCTCCTGAGCACCCTCACCGCCTCCTCTCTTTACTGTCCCCTCAGTCCAGCCTCTTTCCCGGCCAGCGTCCCCACTGGCCAGGGCGGGCCCTCTGAGTTCCCAGCACCTAGCACCAGCTGACAGTCAACAGGGGGACCCCAGGAGAGAGGGGTCTGCACAGTTCTGTGGGGTCAGCCAGTGGTCAGAGATGTGTGTCTCAGCAGATGACCCCAGCATGTCCCAAGGTCACCAGGAAGAAGTCGACGCTGCAGTGACGGCCTAGGGCAGCAGGCAGTGCTTGTTCCTGAGCCTCTCCTCGGTTCTACTTAGTGTCCAGACGTTTTCTGCTGACGGCACATGTGTGCCATGCTTGTGTGTGTGAAGCCCCTGGCACAAGCTGGCATCCACCCCCACGCGCCTGTTCCAGGGAAGGAACTGGAGAGCTTCTATCTTAGGCTCTCGGCAGGGAGTTGGAGAAGACAAAGGACCCAGCCTTGCATACTTGATGAGTGGGCATCAGGCACAGGTTTCAGTACCATCCATGTATGCACTGACATTTATCCTCCTAATGACCTCTGAGATAAGTTATTTGATTTTCCACACTTCACATGCAAGAAAACGAAGCACAAAGTGATTCACAGATGGCCCAAAACCCTCAGAGGAGCCAGCAGTCCCCGCCTCACCTCCACACCCCCCATCTCCTGAGAGATGCAGTTCATCCTCCCAGAAGCCCAAGGAAGGGGAGGCCAAGATACTGAGACTTGGACTTCCTGGGCCAAAACTGGAGCTAAGGGCCCTGAGAGCCTGAGCTGACTCGTGTGCTGCTTGGGTAACAGGCAATTATGGCCCCACGTCACGGATGGGGGCTCTAAGGTGGCCTGCTCAGCCTCCTGTGAATTATAACATATAAATGCCATCCTAGTAATGTAACCCTGAGAGATGCGGGGGGGGACGGGGGGAACCAAGGCTGACCATAGCAAGCCTCACTCAGCAGACAGGGATCTTTTTTTTTTTTTTTCCTTTTTTATCTTTTTTACTGACCGGTAACGGGATCGCAACCCTCGGTGTTGCGCCCGCACCGCGCTCAGCCAGTGAGCGGGAACCAGTCTCCACATGGGATCCGAACCCCCGGCAGGAGCGCCGCTGCGCTCTCAAGCGGCGCACTCTCCAGTGCGCCACCAGGCCGGCCCGCAGACAGGGATCTTGATCAAGACACAAACTTGAATTGAGCATCTGCTCTGGCAGGCTTTGTGGGATTCCTGCTGTGGACAGAATGCCATCTGGCCCACAGGGCAGATGTTAACCAGTCAGACACGAGATTGTGTTACAAACCACAATGAGTACAAGGAAGGAAGTAATGGGTAGATGAACTGACCTTCTCTAGAGGCCAGAGAAGGCTGCCCTGCAGATTGATCTGGGAATAGGGTTGGGAAAGCATAAGCAGCAACTCACAAGTAATAGACCCTCCAGTGTGTGAGGAGTTCAAAGTAGCCACTGAGGCTGGAGCAAGGAGAAGAGGCAGGTCCAAAGGCCCCTGCTCCATCCAGGAATGAAATAGTGCCTGCCTGGTAGGGGGTGGGGGGATGGTCTCATGAGAGTTGCATTAGGACTGTAGTGGAAGGGACTTGGTGAGAGCTGGGCAGGTCTGAGTCTGCTCCGGTGCCTATTGGTTGCCAGTTACCATAGGAGAACTAATTCTGGCCTGGAGCTGTCAGGAACATCTGTACCCCTGCCGTTTTCCTCTTATTACTGATGTATCCTGGCCCTGATGTACGTAGGTGCTTGAAAGATGTATGTTGGTTGACTGAGCGTCCTGCCAAGGTGCAGGACTCCTCCTAGGAAAAGCCAGGGTTAGTTTCTGGAGATCAGTGTGGAGGTCTGATATGCAAAATCTCAATTTGTGAAAACATCTTTGAAATGGCTGCTCACAGACTTCCTGCAGTTGACCTCAGTGAGAAGTCAAAATCTGCTCCAAGGCCTGATAACCTGTTGGGGCAAACATTCAGTAGCCCTACTCTGTGTGCCTCCTGTGTGCACTAATTGTGTGCACCTACTGTGTTCCTGGCACTACACCAGGGGCTTCTCACACAGCGGGTCCCTGTGGTCTAGACAAGGACTTGGAAGCTCGTAGAAGATGTGCCCAAGGTCACAATGAGTCCCCTGAGCTTGCCTGGTGAGTACCACCCCATCCACATGAGAAGACTGTGAGTGTATCAGGGGTGAATACTCCTCTTGATCCTAGCACCTGGGTTCCAGCACCTGGAGCTGGAGTCCATCTGTAGGACCCTAACAATCCATGTCTAAGGTGTGGTGACCAACACAGAGGTCATGGATAAGCACCAGTGTTGTGAACAACTCTGTATGCTTCTTCTGCCTTCCTACCCTTTCCCAGGGCTGAACTCCTGTGAATGGGCCTGGGGGGCAACACTTCTGTATGTGTTTGTATTAGTCTGACATTGCTGCATAACAAAATGCCACAAACTCAGCTTAAAACAATCCACATTTATTCACTCACAGTTCTCAGTATCCCAAGACTGAAACCAACTTGTCAGCTGGCTGAATTCTCATCTGGAGGCTCTGTGGATAAACCTGCTTCCAAGCACATTCTTCTTCTTGGCAGAACTTACTTCCTTATGGCTGTAGGACCATGGTCCCATTGTCTTGCTGGATGATGGCTGAGAGCAGCTCTCAGGCCCTGGCCACGTGGTTCACTCATCTCAACCACGGAGAACCTTCCTTGCTTTGAATCACTCCAAGTTCAACCATCCAGAGAAAACTCTGCTTTTAAACATAATAAGTCAGGGCCGGCCCATGGCTCACTTGGTAGAGTGTGGTGCTGACAACACCAAGGCCCCGGGTTCGGATCCCATAAAGGGATGGCCGGTTGCTCACTGGCTGAGCGTGGTGCTGACAACACCAAGTCAAGGGTTAAGATCCCCTTACCGGTCATCTTTAAAAAAAATAAAATAAAATAAAAATAAACATAATAAGTCAGGGGGCCAGCCCATGGCTCAATTGGGAGTGCGGTGCTGATAAACACCAAGGCTACGGGTTTGGATCTCTATATAGGGATGGCCAGTTAGCTCACTTGGGAGAGCGTGGTGCTGACAACACCAAGTCAAGGGTTAAGATCCCCTTACCGGTCATTTAAAAAAAAAAAAAAAAACACCTCCCCCCTTATTATGTCAGCTCTACCTGATGATATTCCTGTCTTAAGGTCTGCTGTGCCACACAATGTAACCTAATCCCAGGCATCAAATCCACCATAGTCACAATCCCAGTCGTGCACACCAGGGGGGCAGATTCTCCAGAGCCAACTTAGAATGTGTCTGGACATGGGGTGCTCTTGACCCCTCTGCTGGGCCTGCTCCAGGCTGACCTCTGGTCCTTAGGCTTGTCCCTGACTTGTTTGTTGGCAGCTGGCCAGTACAGGGATTGAATCCTTGGCCTTGGTGTTGTCAGCCCCACGCTCTGACCAGCTGAGCCGACTGGCCGGCCCTTGTCCCTGACTTGTGTCTTTCTGTGCCTGCCTCATCTCTGTGCAAGTCTCCTGAGGTTCCCAGAGCTTGATTCCTGGCCCTATGACTCAGTTGCTTGTGGAGCAAGCACTGCTCCTCTCCACCTCAGTGGCTCCATTCCTAAAACAGGAATGACACTTCATCTGCCTGCCAGGCTCTCCCATTGGGGGTTAAGAGAAGAAGGGCAGACAGGACAGTTGGCCCCCAGTCACTAAGTGCACACACTGAGCTCTGGCACCTCTCCCTCCCCTCCATCATCCAGGACTACCATCATTGTCACACCTTACACCCAAGAAACAGGCCCAGAGAAGTTAGAAACTTGCTCTTGGGGCCGGCCCGGTGGCGCACTGGAGAGTGCACCGCTTAGGAGCGCGGCGGCGCTCCCGCCGAGGGTTCGGATCCCATGTGGAGACTGGTTCCCGCTCACTGGCTGAGCGCAGTGCAGGCGCGACACCGAGGGTTGCGATCCCGTTAACAGTCAGTAAAAAAGACAAAAAGGAAAAAAAAAAAGAAAGAAACTTGCCCTTGGTTACACAGCAAGTGAATGTCAGAGCTGAGGTTGGAACCTGCCTCTCCCTTACCTCAAAGCCCTGTTGTAACCTCACCCTCAGAGGAGGTGCCCATCCCAGGCCTTCTAGGCCAGCGCCCATCCCCTGTGGCCCATAACTCTCAGCATAGACCTGGACACAGTAAGTACCATCCCAGCCTCCAGCTGCCTCAGTGAAGAGCTCTGCAACGCCCCCCCCACACAGTGGGAACTGCCCCTCCGGCCTTGCCCTTACTGCACCTGCCCTGGAGAATGGGGGCTTATCTCCACCATCCCACAAAGCCATGCAAAGCCGAGCTGAGGGAGCTATGGGTCCATGGCTGTGAGTGGCTGGAGGATGGGCACCTTGTTGCAGCTGGCTGCCTTCCCCTCCCCTCCCCTCCCC